GCGGGCGGGGGGGGAGAAACATCGATGTGAGAGAGAGACATGGGCTGGTTGCCTCCTGCATGCACCCCGACCAGGGCCAGGGATGGAGCTGCTACCGAGGTACACGCCCTTGACCAGAATCGAACCTGGGACCCTTCAGTCCATGGGCCGTTGCTCTAACCACTGAGCCCAACAGGCCAGGGCGCTGTAGCCTCTTTTATTAGAGAACAGCTCCCCAGACCTTTTTCATCTTTCATAAAGAGTCCTGTCAGCCTTGGTCAGGTGGCTCAGCCTGTTGGAGCGTTGTCCCAATATGTTAATGTTGCTGCTTTGACCCCCGGTCAGGGCACATACAAGAATCAACCCATGAGTGCGTAGATACGTGAAACAACAGATCGACAGAGCAATGTTTCTCTCTCTCTCTCTCAGATCAATAATTTAAAAATTTTAAAAAGGGTCCCGTCAGTTATTTTGTAGGCTGTCCCTCAATTTGGGTCTGCCTGATATTTTGCTGGGATGATACGCAGGCGGTGCGTTGTCAGCAAGAAGACTTGGAAAGCACTGCGTGTTTCCCCTGCGCCTCACACGGGGCCCCCGATGCGGCTCTGCCCCCACTGGGATGCCTCAGGGCCACTTGGCTAAGGAAGGTCTGCCAGGTCTTCCCGTCCTAAGGGTGCCTTTTCCCTCTGTAATCGATGTGTAATCTGAGGGGTGATACTTAGAGATCGTGTGAATATCCTGTTCCCCGACAACCTTTCACCCAGGAATTTAGCATCAGCCGGTGATTCAGGCCTGAATCAGTTACCACTACAGTGGCTGCAACGGTCCCTTTATTGGTTTCTCATCCCTCAGGCTCGCCCTGCTCCAACTCATCTCACACCTTTGCCCTGGTGAACTTCTTCAGGCACACATGCCCTCCTCAAAAACCTCCCATGGCTCCCTACTGCTTAGAGAAGTGAGTCCAAACTTGGCCCAGTGTGGTCTGACCCAGCTATACGCCCCCATCTCCGCTCAAGCTGTACATTCCAAGTTACTCACTATTCACACCTCCAAGCCTTTGCCAAGCTATTTCCTCAGCTAGAGTCCTCAGCTAGGTGCCATGCCCAGGAAGCACTCCTCTGTGAGTCCCTCCCCGGCTGAAAAGAAGCTTTGTCCTGTGCCCCCACCCCCCACCCAGCCCTTGGCTCATAGCAGGGCACATGGTCCTGCTTCCCCTCTGTCCTGGGCTGTTGTTTGTCATCTCCCGTCTGTCTGCTGTACTGGATGATGGGCTGTCTGGGGCAGGGCCACATCTAATTCCTCCTGAACACTCAAGGTGTCTAGAGCCAGATTTCATGCAGAGTTAGCACTGGCATGTTTGATGATTGAATGCTACAGGAGCCATAGGAAGCCAGAGTGGCATGCTGGGGTGGGACCTGGATACCCTGGACCATATCCCCAAATCCTGATGATGCTGAAGGCACAGATCAGGAGGCAACACAGTGCAGTAGTGATGGGAGGGCCCAAGCATACTGGGCTCACATACCAGCAAGACTGACCAGCATCATGTGCATCCTGGGCTTGGCCTGACCAGCAGCCTTTTCCCTTTCTTTGGGGACGCCACCACCTTGATTTCCTTTGGGCCATCTTCACTTCCCCACTCTCAAGCCATGCGGTTTGCACCGGGGGCTGACACTATCCCTGATCACCAGGTTGGGCACATGACCCATGCTGGGTCCCAGGAAGAACCCTTCCTAGGACTTTAGCTACATCTGTTGACAAGATTGTACTTTCTGTCTGTGGAGGTTGATAAGCAGGTAGGATACAGCCTGGCACTGCTGCTGTTCATCATGTCACCATGGGGAAGGGTCTGGCTAAGAATGAAGCCACCACAGAAGAGAGCAGAGCAGAGGCCAGATTTCAGATACTGTTTGCACCTGGATCCAGCTATGCCTGAAGTCATCTCCCCCTAGACTTTTTACTCAGCCAGTTGGTCACTTGCAACCTGAAGATCCTAATGCACCCATTGTGAGAGAATGTATTTAAAGCAGGTTGCACGGCATATCATGCCTGCTCCATAAATATATGGGACTGTTACTATTATTAAGACTTGAGCCACCAAAGTAAGACATGCCCAGGGGCCCAGATGGCCAGTGAGATGGTTACCTGGTCCCTGGCAATCACCACATCCATGGTCACAGGGACCAACCTAGTCTGGCAGAAGGACTCACCCTCCTTTCTTTGGCTTGCAGTGTCTCCTCCCATAGGGGACCGAGTGAGGACAGACGGGGCCCTTTGGGCACTATCAGCTTTTGACCCCTCCTGCAGCTTCCGAGGGATCATTGCAGTGAACTTGTCCCAGCTGGGGGCCTCCTCCTTCCTTTTGACAATGTCCCAGTCCTGCCAGGGAAGGAGAGGAGAAAGCGTGCTTGGAGATTAAGAAGAGAGACCCCTAGGCTGGCACTCCCAGCATGAGATGGGTAGGAGGAAGGGAAAGGACCTGGCATTGAAAGAACACCTGCTGTATACCCAGCACTGCGCTCAGCTCCTTGCGGGTGTAAACTCAGCTAATCTTCAATCAACCCCTGAGGTGGGCAGTCTGTGGAGCTAAGAAGTTGCCCAAATTCACACAGCTGGGAAATGGTTTGCATGGGAGGGGACTTGAACCCAGGACAGTCGAACACCATGTGGTAGGAGGGCCTTGGCATAGCAGTCCCCCTCCCCAGAGACACCCCAGGATCCAGAGAGAAGTAGGTTCAAAGCCTGGCTCCACCTTTTCCCAGACAGATGGCTTCAACTAAGTTGCTTCCTTTCTCTGAGTCTGTTTTCTTGCCCCAAAACAGGGCCATAAAGGGGGTGGTGAGCCTTCCTCAGCCCATGCTCACCGTCTTATCACTTCCCCACTTGCCCCTGGAGGTCTCACAGATAGTCTACCTCTTCTACCCTGGAACAGCCTTGGAGGGGTGAACGCCAAGGAAGTTCCCCTGAGTCTCCTCATCTCCCAGCTAAATGGCCCCAGCCCTGGTCCCCTCCCCCAGCCTCCTCCCTTCCCTCTGTCCTCTGCCAGGGCTGCCAGAGGTGTGTGACCAAGGCAGGGCCCAGGACCAATCCCATCCTTGCTCCAGACAAAACACTCAACATCCTGGCTCTCTGTGACCTGTGCCCTGAGAGTTTTTGGCAGCCCGAGCCCGTTGGTGATTCACGTGGAGCTCCCCCATTAACTGAAACTCCCCCCATCTTCTTATAGGCAGACCCCCAGCCTTCCTGTGCTGGCCCTACAGAGACCCCCTCTCCCAGGTGGGTGGTCTGGGCGGCCTGAGGTGCTCACTAAGTCTCCAGAGGCCCTGGGCCAAGTCCTTGGTGAGGAGTTTGGGGCTGGCATGGAGGGGTGATCTGCTCTTGCCCTCAGCTCCCCACTCCCAGCTCACCACAGAGGACGAGTTGCTGGTATCATCAGGGGTGTCGTAGTCAGGGCTGGAGCTGGTGGCAGAGTCAGGGCCCTCGTCGCAGCTGCCACATGAGGAGGAGGCCAGGCCCTCCAGATAGGGCACTGCCTCGGGGTCCCAGCTCCTGCTCCTGGGGCTGGCTGTGAGGCCCTCTGCAGGAAGCCCTGCCGATGGGCCCCTGAGAGAGGAGACAAACCCATGACTTTTCCCCCAAAAGTAATGGGAATTAAGGAGTAACATCCCCACCCCAATACACGCACACCTCCCGTTACAGGGAAAGGAGGAGCTGACACTGAGGACTCTCTGTGCTGGGCTGTACATGGGCTTCCTGGTTTATCTACAACAGCCTCCCTTTGGAATGAGTGTAATGATTTCCATTTTACAGATGAAGAAACTGAGGCTCAGAGAGGCCAAGGGAATGGCCAAGGTCACGGAACTAGGAAAGGGCAGAGTTGCATTGTGAACCGGAGTTGTGGCCCCAGGCTCAACCCTCTGTCACTGGAGCTAATGGGGGGCTCTGAAAGGTAGCAGAGCTCAAGGGGCAGTGACAGGGTGGCCAGTCTTGATGCCAAGGGAGGGCGCTACAGAGAAAGCCTTGCTTTGGAGAAGCCAGTCAGGTGGCCTCGGGCCTTAGCAGGCTTAGAGCTGGCAGTATCCCCAAAGAGTGACCCACAGATTGGCCTACAAGTTGGAAAGGGGTGCTGACCCCTGAAAAAGAGGCCCGTAGTCAAATAAGTTTGGGACAAACTACACACATCTACCTCCCCCACTCAAAGGCAGAGTGCGTGCCTGCAAACTAAAGGCTTTGAAAAGTCCTGCAAGAAAGATACCCAACTTTGTTTTTCCCAGGCTTTCTGAAGCATACTTGATGGCAGAGCTTTTGGTTTTTTTAAAAATATCTACCTGTGAGGAACACATGTTCCCAAAGCAACTTTTCAAATGGGGAAACTGAGGTACAGAAAGAGGGAATAACTTGCCCGAGATCCCACAGCCCAACAGGGATGAAGCTGAAGCGGGACTTAGAGTCCTGCCCTCCCAAAGCAGCTCGGCCCCAAAGGGACTTCAGTTCATCTCGGGGTTGGGGTGGAGGGAATCCCAGAGCCTGGAACTGGGCAGTCAGGTAAGTGGGTGATAAACCTGTTTAATTTTTTAAAGCTGAGCAAAGGGAACAAGGAAATGTGAGTGGGCTGTGAGCCATGCCCCCGGCAGGGTGGGTGTATGGGTGCTTTGTACCCACCTGGGTCAAAGCTGAGCTAGGGCCCAAGGAACATGCCCACTGTGTCCAGCTGTGTGGACTGACCATGTGACCCACGCCAGCAGCCATTATAGATAGACGCTGCCATTGTGCAGGGGTGTGGGGTGGGGTGGGGTAGGTGAGGGCTACCCCGGGGAGCCCCTCCCCAGGCCCTGGAGCTCTACCCACCTCTCGGACCCTGGCCCAAGGCCGAGGCCCACCACAGACTGGCACCCAGAGGTCGAGGCACTGTGCAGGTCCTCAGAGGCAGGCGGGCAGCGGGGCAGGTCGCAGTAGGGTGCCTCAGCACTTGGAGGCCTCCCAGGCTCCTGGGACAGAGTTGCAGAGAGGAGGCACCTTATGGCCCACGTGGGGGCTCCCCTCCCCCTGCACGGCCCCTCCCCCCACAGGCAGTGTGGAAGTCTCCAGGCATCTCCTCCTGGGATCTCAGACTTCTCAAGGAGAGCTGTCCATCAGGCTGGAAGTGCCCCTGGGGACCCAAGCCGAGGGCTGGCTGAGGTACAGGCTGTGTGCATGCACACGTGTGTACAGGTATGTGTGCATATAGAGGCCTGTGTGTGTGCAACTATGCACACGTGCATGCATGTGTATGCGAGGATGGGGATACATTAGTGCATGTTTGTATAAGTGCATGTAAGTTCGTTTACATGTGTGCTGGCACATATGCAGGCGTGTGTGCTCAAGGCTGTGACGTGCACAGAAGGACCCAAAAGGTATTTCTGTAGCTAGAAGACAAGGGTGAGGAAGGAGAGTAAACCAGCCTGAGGAGGGAGGAAGGAGGGACATCAAGGCCTCATAGGAAAGGAATGGCCCTGCTAGAGGAGGGCAGGGGGCTCCTGGGCTGCAGGGTCAAGGCCCGGGGGACGGGAGCAGAGGTGGAGGCCCTGAGCCGGCTGCTGGCTTCTGTCTCCCTCCCGCTCACCAAGGCCACACCTGTGAAGGCTGGTGCTGGGCTCACCCAGGGGGAACGGCTGCTCACCTCCGGGAAGGCCCCCCCACCCCTCCCCACCTCCTGGGGCGGCAGGGCCCTCCCCTGGTGGTGGGAGACAGCGGCCACAGAACCCTGCACCCCGCCTCCTCTCGGGTTACCTGGGTGGCGGGCTCCGGCGGTGGCGGCTGGCGGCTGTCAGCACCCTCGTCCCCGGGGGGCTCCGGCTCAGGCCCCCACGCTGCCGCCCTCCCAGGCCCCGACTCTGGGCCGTGGCGGCGGCCGAGGCAGCAGAAACCCTAGAGGGGCCGGCTGCGGGAGCAGGGGCCCCTCATTACTGTTTCATAAGCCGGGGCCCAGCCAAGAACGACGCAGGACATGAAACCACAGGAACCTGATCCCCACAGCTCACCTGAGAGCTGGCTGGGCGGGGGACTGGGCCTGGGCTCCCTGGGGACCCTGGAGCCCAGAGCTCAGGGCTAAGGCCACAGCCTGGCCACAGCCCCCAGGTGGGCACAGACTCTCTGGGTTCCGAGAAGGTGGCTGCTAGCAAGACCTGGGCAGGGCCAAGGAGTGGGGCCAGGGTGTCTGCCGTGCCATCTAAGCCAGAGGAGCCCATCTGGGCTCAGTTTCGCCCCCTGCCCTGGAGCCAGATTCTGATCAGAGCTCGGCAGCGGGAGGTGTCAGATCCACAGCCCAGCCCGGCGCCTTGGACGCCCCAGGGACCTCATGGGCATGAATAAGGAGGGAGCAGCTCGCTAGGCACTGCCAAGGGGTCCCAGCCCAGCTGGGCCCAACAAGGCCCCCAGCCAGTCGTGGCATGTCCTTTCTCTCACTCCCAGCCCCTGCCACTACCCACCGCCCACTTGAGCGGGGTCCAGCAGCAAGTCCCTGGCTCTGATTTCCTGCCTGGCGGGTCAGCACAAGCTCTGGCCTCAGACAGACAGATTGGAAGTCCAATCCTGGCGCCTCCACTTCCCAGCTGGGTGACCTCAGCCCTGTGGCTTCCCCTCTCTGAGCCTGGTTTCCTCATCTACAAAACTGAGATGATAAGAGGACTCAGCTCCTAGGGCTGTTATGAGAATTAAACGAGTTAATATTTGTAAAGAGCTTAGAACAGTGCTTGCCGTACATCTTAAATAGAATAGATAATGTATAAAGATTAAATAGAATTTTATTAGTGTTAAATCGATAGAATGTTAAATACACTTACGAATAAATACATTTAAAAGTGATGTGTGGTACCAGGCACAACAGCACGACACTCCCACCTAGGCTCCCTCCCTCCATCCAGAACCTGGCTGTGACCTGCTCAAGGCCATGTGATTTCCAGGAATAAGCCCTCCCGCAGCCTATGGGACTCAGCTGAGAGTAGAGCAGAAACATATCCAGAGCCAGAATCCCAGGGGAGCTGGAACAAGCTTTGGGGAGGAACCTGGGCCATTCCTGCATACTCCAAGGTAGGAAAAGATGTCAGAACTGGCTCCGGCCCCAGGAGATACCAGGCTTCCAGGGAAGAGTTTGAACCCAGATGTAATTAGGGGTCCAGCTGGGAACTGCACAGTCCCACCCAGGCTGGGGGATGCTGTTTTAACACACAGATATCGTGACTGCATGTCTGAAACTGCTCATCCGCAAGCAAGATTTTCATCAGCGTCAGATCCTGATGACTCGAGAGCCTTTATCTCCCACTGAGGTCTGGCTCCTCAGCTCCGTAATTCAGTAACTTCCCTCATCTCCAGTGTAGCCCACAGGCACCTCTCACTCACCACCCCAAACAACTCCAAATGGATTTCCTATCCCAAGTACCCTCCTCAGGAGGTAACTTAGAAGTCAACCATGGTCCACCCCTTCCATGTTCCTCAGGCACCAAATCCTTTAGATTCTCCTGTTCAATTAGTTCTGAAATGTGTCCATTTCTCTCCATTGCAAAGTCTCCATCATCACTGGCATGAGTGATTGTACCTTTTCCTTACTGTTCACCCTGGTTTACTCTCACTCCCTGCACTCCATTCTCAGCCCTACAGTCAGTGACTTTGGAAAGTGCAAATCTGATCTCACCATTCCAGTTTAAAATCTTCAGTGGCTCCCATGACTCTCAGGAAAAAGTCCAAAGTCAGCATGTCTATAGGGCCCCACAAGGCCTGGTGAGACCAGCCCCCACCCCATTCTCCAACCTTGTCTTGGAGTTCCTATGCCCCTCCCTCTTGGTGACCTCTCTCCATCCTACAATATGCCTCCTCCTTTCTGCCTCAGGGCCTTTGCACCTACTATTTCCATCCTCTCCTCTTCCCCCAACTTCACTAGCGAATGTCCCCATAGCCTTTACGAAGCAGCTGAAATGTCATTTCCTTGGCGAAACCAATCACTTATCCTCATGCAACTTGCTATTCCTTACAACCTTAACCACAACCATAATTATTTGCATGATTAATTTCTTAGTCTCCATTTCTCTTGCTAGACTACAAGCCCCATGTACCAGGGACTGTGTCTGTGTTACTTATCACTGTTTCCCCACCATCTGGCATAGTGCCTGGCACATGTTAAGCATCTATTCAATATGTGTGAACATGTGAACTGGCCTAAGGTCTCAGCCCAGAAGGGGTGGGACTGAGACTAGAACCCAAACCTGTCTGAACCCAAAATTTCTTCTCCTGCTCCTGACTTCCCATCTCCCCACCCATTGGAAGAAGATCATTTACACGGGAAATAAACTCACTGAGCTTTCAGGCATCTGTTCCATGAACTTGGGGGTAGGGGCGCTGTTACTATATGCATCAGGACAGGAGAAAGGAATCTCCCAGGTTTGTTTTCCTGATTAGGAAGGAGGGAGAGGAAACTAACAAGTATTGAATTAGCCACATGTGATAGGCTAAGCATTGCCAGATGCCCCGAGTGAGAAGATTTATTGCCCCACTTGACTATTTAGGGGAGTGAAGCCAGAGATAGTAAATGACCCAAGGTCACACAGCAGGGCAATGGCAAACCTAGCACTGGAACTCTGGTCTGCATGGCCCCAAAGCTGAATGGTGACTCCCTTATATCAGTCACCTTGGAGTCTAACCCCCGCATGGTGCTGGCTGCCAGGCTTAAGGGGAGCCTCAGGACTGTTTGGGAATGAAAGAGCCATAATGGATCAAGGCTGGAGGGCCCACAGAGATTCATAGGTCTCATAGCACGCATACCAGGAGCTCTGGGTTTATGTATATGGGGAATTGGCCTAAGACTACATGGATCCCAAAGTGAGAAAATGCTTCGCTCCTTCAGTACCTTCAAGGAGAAAGTTTCCAGTGGGCGCTGGGGTATCTTCAGCACCTCTCTAACACCTGCCAATCTCCCTTTTTAACAGAGAGACAGCAGGATTTAGGCTCAGAGCCTTCAGCCAACAATACTCTCTAGTTAGAATTTAAAGACACTTCTGTTTTCTGTCTTTTTCTTTCTTTCTTTTTAACCTTCTATACAAAGGATATAAGCCGAGTTTTCTACTTGTGGTGGTGATGTAAAGTTCTGTTTTAGTATAAGGGACAAAAGGGTATTGATTTAAAGAGTAAGGTAAGTAATAGATTATGTGAGGCTATGGCAACAAAAGACCAGAAAATCAGGAGAATGACTGGCACGTGAGAAAGGTTAACATGATCTCACTACTTCACTGAACAGATGGGAAAACTGAGGCTCTGCCCATGAGGAAAGCCTGTGTCTGGGTTCAACTGCAAGTGAGTTGGGCCAGTCAGGCCCCAGCCCATCCCAGACTCCCCAATCCCAAACCACACCAACCACTCAGGAAAGCCAGCCCACCTGGTGCCTTGCTCTGTGGGCCTCCTCAGGGTGGGAGCAGTTCTGACAGCAGCTCTGGGCAATCATATTGGCCTCAAAGTATTCACAGGGGGCATTCCCAGCCTCCCCCTCCATATTGGGTGAGTCAGGCCAGGGAAGCTCCTGCGATCCAATGGTGGGCCTGGGAAGAATGGAGCGGGGAGGCAAGGACCAGGGGACTGGCTGGCAGCACACCTGGACCCCAGCCCCAGCTTGCCCCTGGACAAAGACCAAGGAAATAAGGTTATTCATCCATTTATTCATCTGTTCATGTATTCACGCAACAAACACTCATTAAGCACCTACTAAGCACCAGGCACTCTGCCAAGCGTTTGATATGTCATTTCTAGTCATCACTGCAGTGTTGTTCCAAGTGTGTTCCAAGGACCCTGCTTTAGACTCAATAGAGCTATTTATAAAATGCATATTCCCAGTACCCTCCCCAGATCCACCTAGTCAGAATCTCTCTGGAGGTGAGGCCTGGGATGTGCATTTTAAACAAGTCTCCTAGGGCACTCGTGCACCCAAAGTTGGAGCGCCCTTGTCTTATAATTATCCTGCATAAAATTGGATAAAATTAATATCAGTTTCAGATGAGGCAAGGAAGGCTCACAGAGGTTCCATAACTTGCAAAGAGGTCCCAGTGGCTGAACTGAATTCAAACCCAGGTCTGTGTGCCCCCCTACCCCGACTAGGAGGTGGAAGTGAGGGGCACTGGATCACACTGCCAACTCACACAGGTCCCTTGGGAAATACTGGGAGTGAGGCAAAAGGCCAGCCCAGTATTTTCAGAGTTGAGGACAAAGTCATGGACAAAAGTGAACCTAAAGTCACACAGCAAGTTTGTGGCAGAGCTTGGCCAAAGAGAAAGCCTCGTGTTCTGACTTGTGCACATGGCTATCCCTTCTGTGCCACTGAGAGCTTCAATGCCATACCCTGGGGGGGAAGCCCCAACAGAAGACTGACTTGAAAATTTCCTCCTAACCCACACAGAGCCCTAGGAGGGGATGGGGGTGCGAGGAATCCATATTCTCTAACACACATGCCCCTTACGTACCCCCAAGTCACTGCCCATACCTTTCCTCACCTGGAGAATTTCTTCCACAGCGTCCCAGCGGATCAGGCCTCCCGGGGCATTAGGCCTTCCTTGCCAGTCTCACCTGAGAACTGGAGAATTTCACATCTCCCCTGAGACAGCCAGGGGAAAGGATGGTGGCTCCTCCGCCCTCAGATCTGGGGAGGCAGCAGGGCACAGTCTGTGGGGAGGGGGGGTACCCACTGGCCCCTCGGTGGCCCGGGGTCTCTGATCTTCTCTGGACTCTTCTCGCAGCATCGCTCTCTGCTCCAGGTGGTAGAAGGGGGGTGCATCCGTCCCACCCGGCCTGGCGGATTCTCTCCCAGCCCCGCCACATACGGGAGTATCTCCTCAGATGGAGCCTGCTGCTCATTTCCCTGGGGCGGATGTGCAGGGCTCCACGCCAGACCCCCCACTGCTCCCGCTTCCTCCTCCCCACCCCCACGCCCCGGCAGGATCCTTCTCCGAAAGGCACTCTAGGTGTGGCCGTAACAATGAAAACCCTGCAGAGGACCGGGGGCCCCGCCCGGAGAGCGGACCCCTGGACCGCTCTCTCCATCCATCCGGTGGGCGCCTCGCCCGTGTTCCTCACCCCTCCGCCTTTCCCCTTACGCCCCTCCACCCTTCCCGCCGCGTACTAACCTCGGCTCGGGTTTCCACGCACCGGGGGTGCCGGGGGTGCGTGCCGAGGTCACAGCCTCTGTATTTTAACAATGAATCTGAACGTTGACGAAGACCACGCCCCTGCCGCTCTCTCATAGGCTCTCTCTCAGTTCTTCATTTGCATGAAGGCTGTGCGATTGGGCAACCCGAGGACGATGGGCGGGGCGGAGGCGGCGGGGCGGAGGCGGGCGGTGCCCAGATGCCTCCGAGCGCGGGATCCGCAGCAGGTTTCCCGGAGCAGCGGGTCCAGAGGTCCCGGACCGTAGGCAGAGCTGGGAGCGGTGTTCAACGTCTGACCTCTTTCCCTTTGAATCATTCCCGCCACTGTCCGCTAACCTGGCTTTTGCCTAGGCCTTGGGCTAGGGTCTTAACCTCTCTGTGCCTCAGTTTTCTAATTTGTAAAATGGGGGTAGAAATACTATCTGTGAGGATAAAATTAAATGCCTAGGGGGTTTCAACCTCTATTTGCACATTTCCGCTGTTGAGACGCTAACTCAAATGCACAGCTCTCCCCCTTTAAAAGTAACATTTTGCCCCGGTCAGTGTGGCTCAGTTGGTTGAGCATTCTCCCGTGGACCTGCGATTGCCGGTTCAATTCCTGGTCAGGGCACATGCCCAGGTTGTGGGTTCAACCGATGGATGCTTCTTTCTCCCCCTCTCCCTTCCTCTCTCTCTAAAATCAATAAAGACAGCCCTAGCTGGTTTGGCTCAGTGGTTAGAGCGTCAGCCTGCAGACTGAAGGGTCCTGGGTTTGATTCCCACCAAGGGCTGTGCATACCTAGGTTAGAGGCTGGATTCCCGACTGGGGGCCCATGTGGAAGGCAACCAATTGATGTGTCTCTCTCACATCAATGTTTCTCTCTCTTTTCCTTCCACTCTCTCAGGAAAGCAATGGAAAAAATACCCTCAGGTGAGGATTAAAAAAAAAAATCAATAAAAACATATCTTTTAAAAGTCTAACATTTTTAAAGCTAACATTTATTCTGCACTGTCTATGTGGCAGCTCCAGGTCCAAAATCTCTACATTCATGAAGACATCATAACGTGAAGGATTAAGTACCAAGGTCTTCATTTCACAGCAACTGAGGATCTGAGAAATTAACTAACTTCCCAGTGTCACACAGCTAGTAAGTGGCAGAGGCAAGACTAAAATCCTGTGTGGCTTGGCTGGGCATGGCTCAGCGGTTGAGCATCCACCTAGGATCCAGGAGATCGCAGTTCGATTCCCAGTCAGGGCACATGCCCTAGTTGTGGGCTCAAGCCCCAGCAGGGGGCGTACAGGAGGCAATCGATCAATGACTCTCATCATTGATGTTTCTATCTCTCTCTCCCTCTTCCTTTCTCTCTCTGAAATCAATAAAGATATATTTAAACAAACAAACAAAACCCCTGTGTGTCTGCTTCCACTGTTGTCCACAGGGCATCTTCACTAATACAGTCAGACATTCACCCATACCTGGCACAGCCATGCCTGAGCTGGGTACTGGGGAAATGGTAACATGAATAGAATGTGGCTCCTTCTGAAATGAGGAGCCCACTGACCAGTGGGAGAGAGCCTCTGAACAGGTCACCCTGGCCCCTAATGGGACAGGCGAAGATACAGCTTCATTACAAGAATAATGAGCTTTCTGCTTGGTCCCAATTACTGTAAGCAAAACAGGGAGTAGTAAGACTCGTGTTTAGTATGTGGCTCTAGCACTCCCTGGCTGTGTGATCTTGAGGAAGTTCCTTGTCCTCTCTGAGCCTCGAGTGGGGTAGGCACTCAGTTTGAGTTTGAAGCTCAGGGTATGACACCGGCCCTCTAGCCCCACCCATCAGTAAAACCTGAAACCAACTCTGAGTGGCCCTCTGAACAGATAATTCATTAAATACTTGTGGAGCCCCTACTTTTGTTGGTTGTGTGTGCTAAGGATACATCAGTGAACAAAAGATCAAATCTCCTGCTCTTGGAACACTTACATGTTAGACAGACCACAGACTAGATAAATAAGCAATACATGGAGTACGTTGGCTGGTGACAGGTGCTAAGGGGAAAAATGCAGCAGGGAGGGGTTAGAAGTCGCTGGTGTGGTCAGGGAAGGCTGCACTAAGATGGTGACATTTGAGCAAAGACCTGAAGAAGATGGGGCAATGAGCCTGCAGGCCCTGGGGAGGGGTGTTTTCAGCTAAGGGGACAGATGCAGAGAGGCTGGAGTGGAAAGAATGAGGGAGAAGGAAATGGGACAGGTTGGTGGGTCGTCCTGAGCACTCTCCCTAGCTCTGGAGTTGCCTGGTTGTGCCCTGCTGTGGGATGGCTCAGGGCTAAGGGTGTAATGGTGGCAGCCAAGGAAGCGTCACCACTTGTCACATTTAGTCCTAGCCTCACATCCCCCTTTCTACTCCCTGAAGTCTATGTCCGCTTATCTCCACCTTTGCTCATGCCATTTCCTGTGGCCGAGACACCCCTCTTCAGAGAGCTGGAGATGCAGACTGATTACTCACAGTTCTCTTCCAGCTCTACACCACTGAGCCTCAGCTTCCTCTCAGTCAAGTGGAAATGGTCACCCAGCCCTCCCTGCCCACAGGCCTGATGAGAATCACATGCTCTGGGCAGGCAAGATAGAGATGCAGGAGACCGTGGCCCAAAGGAGCAGGGGCAGTAGGTAAGAGTCTCTAAAAGGGTGATCAGGGCTGGCTCCAGCCCGTGGTTACCCTGCATAGTGATGATCCAAAGCCACCAGGCTTGCTTTTACTGACTCCTTTAGAAGCTCATGCCTTGAAAAAGCTCCTAGAGGCCTCAACCCACAGGGCCCACAAGATGGGGAGCAGCAGGAGTAAAGAATCCAGATGCGGAGCATGGAGAGAAGAGCTGCTGAGAAGACAAGTTCTCCAGAGGGTTCTGATTCCACCACTCCTGAAGCTAGGACTGGCAAGACCATGCCTCACTTTCCTTGGTCTGCTAGCAGAACTAATGGCCCACATAGGAGAGAGCAATGAGACTAACACTAACAAATGTTACAAATCATAGGTGTACGTTGTAAATGACCCCGTGTCACTGGGGATGGGGAGAGAGCCTGGCCAGGTGTCTCAGCAGTCAGCAGCAGCTACACACACATTGACGGCACATGCCATGGGAACGGTTCATACGCACGGTCTCATTTTAGCCTTAGGGGTGGCCTTACGTTGTAGGTGTCTTATGTCACCCTACGCATGGAGAATAGACCCAGAGAGGTTAGCACAGTGAGGAGCTCAGACAGTGGTCCAGTGGCACAGCCAAGATCCAAACCCAAACCCTGCTGTGTGCACTGATCTCCCAGGCCTAGCTCTGTTCCTGCTCACAGGGGCCTGTGAGGACACGGCTCAGTTGGCTCTCCTGGGGTGAGTACCACAATCACCTGGAGAGCCTGGTAACAGGCTCTGCCCTGGATGGAGGCAACCAACCACAGTCACCTGACCCAAACAGGGTGGGACAACCAGAAGGCAGCAAGAAGAACAGGTGGGAGAAGCTGAGAAGCCAGGTCAGGAGACCTCCTGGCCACAAGCCCTGAGCTTTACATTCCATGCCTAGGTGTGGCCTTCAGACCTGCATCAGCCATCACCAGATAGTAGGTTTTTATGGTGACATGGAAAAGCACCTGCCCAGCCCCAAGTGCAGCCAAACAGAGCCACTGTTCCTAAGCCTACACAATGGCTTGTGGGGGGAGGGAGCTGCTCCTAGAATACCTTCCATGGGGTGAGTGCGGGGAGGACCTACCCCGCAGACTTCAGCTCCCTCTCCCAAAGGAGTCTCTCACATCCCAAGGCCATACATCCTGCAGCTGTGCTCCCATCAGAGCACTCTCCTGTCACCCTGACCATCTCTTACTAGTCATGAACTTCACTGGGAATGACAGCACATTTTATTCCCCTCAGTCCTAGTCTTAGGGCCCAACATGGGTCCCCTAACCAGGGCACAACACGAAATCCCTGTGCCCCAGCTCAGAATCACAGGAACCAGTAAGTGGCAAGGGGGAGTCAGACGATAGTGCTCTGGTTGTCCTCGATGGTACCGCATCTACCATCCTACCTGGATTCTACCTTCTTGGTTAGGGGAACAGCAGAGTACGTGAGGTAGGTCACTAATAAGCTGGGACAAGAAAGGGACAAGGCTGGTTTTCATCAGCTCTGAAACCAAACCTGAAGATCTGAAAGGAGTGTGAACAAATGGCACCTTGCAGTACACCAGCTGGACTCCTGGGGGGTCTGCTCAGAAAGGGCCCCACTTCTAGGCAAGATGCATTTTCTTTAAAAAGGGTTAATCTCTCCTTGCGCCTAGGAGCTGCTGGAAGCCTGGGAAGCTGCCCCAGTTTGGGGGTGGGGAATGTGCCAGGAGTCACCTGCTTCCACATTTCAATTTCAGCTGAGAAGACGGAGACCAAGGATAAGGGACAGGCCCCAAGTCTCAACCACTAAAGGGCAGAGCTTGCTACTGCTCACCCATGGCCCCAGCTGCTCACTTTTCAGAGCAACGGGTAGACTGGCTTCTACCAGTGGTTACACTGGTCTGCACCCCTGGTTAGGGGTCCCAGACCTGACACTGCCTTTCACACCCACAAGGAAAAGTGCTGGAAGATGAGGATGGGATGTGCCCACCACCCCAGAAGCCTACCCTTGGCGTGTGGCATCAGGGCCAAAGACAAACCAACCACAGTGCACGTAGTTTCAAAACTCTGATGAAGGCGCAGCATAGGGGCCAAGGACAAACCAACCACAGTGCAGCTAGTTCAAAACTCTGATGAAGGCAGTGGGGTGTACACATGGGAAGGTGCCCCAAATGTGGCTCAGACGGCTCCTCCTGAGGGAGGCCAGTTCTCAGCTGCCTGCTACTTCTTGGGCAAAAGCCCCTGGGCTCAGTGCAGGCTGGGTTACAGAGACAGCCAAGCAGAGACAGGACAGATCCTTGCAGCCTAGGCTGGGGCCTGGCCTGGTTCTCGGACTCACTCTCCGTTGTGCCGGGCTTTGCCGGTCAGCCGGCGGCGCTGGGTCTTGCTGGTACGAGTGGTACTTGGGGGCTTCTTGGTGGAGTCCTGGGCCCATCGAGGATGTTTCTTCTTGACTTTTCTTCGACTGTGTGCATGCAGTGATGCTGTGAGAGAGGAGATCCTGTGGGAGAGTGGTAGGCCAGTGAGGCTAGGGCCTCAGTGTACCCTGGGGAACAGGGCATAAGTGAAAGGTTGAGTTGGGGATGACTGACAATCCAGTTCATGAAGGGAAAGTCAGGACAAGCCCTGAATATCAATACTACCAGGTCCATTCCAAAGGCAGCCTGCTCTGACCCCACAAGGCCTGCTAGCTCCTTAGCTCAGAGAGAGAAAGGCCCTTACCCCAGACATAAAGGGCTCCCAGGGTCAGTTGTTCTTGGGGGGTGGGGGTGGGGTGAGGGACAGTGAGGACCACTTGATAGGAAGAGCAGAGGGCTGCTCCAGGCCCCACACCTGCCTCACACTACTCCCTACAAGTCAGCAGGAGGCGGCTCTGCAGGCCAGGTCACCCATGCCAGCCATGCAGAATAGGCTCATAAGGATGGACAAGCCAGAGCTCACCGCTGGGATAGCAGGGGTTCTCTGGATTTTCTGGGTAAGGCTTTGGTCAGCTTCTCCATGGATGACACCTCCTCCTCAGACCCCGGCTGGGCCCCTTGCTAAAAAAGCAGAGAACAAAGACTGTCACAGAGAGCAATGGATTGGGTGGCCTGGGCAATCATGGCTCTGTCAAGTGGGGGCACGATTCGCCACCTCCCATGCCTGGGCTGGGGCTCAGGGAAGGCCATGTGCACCCTGGAGCAGGAATTATGCAGGGAAGAGCTGTGTTTCAGAGTCCTCCACTGCCTCAGTTTCCAGTGGACATCAACACTCACAGATGGAAGAACTCTAACATGGGGACAAAACTTGTCTTTGCATCAGACCTTTCAGAAGAGGGAGCACAAAATAGAAGTTGAACATAAGACGTAATAGAGCAGTGGCTCCCAGACATAAACCCACTGTAATCCATGATAAGAAATGTGGTTTACCTTGTAACTGAGTTGATACATGGATATCAAAAAACTTACTGTGAGGCTTTCTGATATTTTCAATAATAATTCTGTTCTATTTTTATTTTTTTAATCCTGATTAAACAAACCTGAGGATTATTGATTTTAGAGAGGATTGGGGGAGAAAGAGAGAAACAGATGTGAGATAGAAATATCAATCGGTTGCCTCTCATAAGCATCCACTGGGAACAAACCTACAACCTAGGTACTATATGTGCCCTGAACGGAAATCGAACCCACAACCTTTTTGGAGTATGGGACAATTCTCCAACCAACTGAGCCACACCAGCCAGGGCTATTTCTTTTCTTTTCTTTTTTTAATGCGTCTTTATTGATTTCTGAGAGACGAAGGGAGAGGGAGAGAGAAAGAGAGAAATATCAATGATGAGAGAGTCATTGATCAGCTACCTCCAGCATGACCCCTGCTGGGGTTCGAGCCTGCAACCTGGGCATGTGCCCTAACTGGGAATCGAACCACGATCTCCTGGATCCTAGGTTGATGCTCAACCACTGAGCCACGCCGGCTGGGCTTTTTTTTTTTTTAATGCTGGTCGCAACCTGTTAATAACTCACAACCCATAGGTTGAAAACTCGCTGTCAGTGCACACAGGTGTGTCATGTAATTATTGCTGTTTATCATGCAATCTGAGTGATCACAGTAAACACTATCTAAAGTGCTTCTCATAGGTTCACCACTTTTAATCTCACAGCAATTCCACAAGGCAGGTGCTACCACCATCGAACCTGTTTATTGATGAAGAGAAGAGGTAAGGCAAAGAGACACCCAAGCTCCCACAGCTGCTCAGTGGTGGAGCTAGCCTCTGAAACCTCAGGACTCAAAGATTTTGTCCAGGCCCAGAAGACACTGAACCCCCTGCAATGGAATCTACATGACATGGACTAGCACTTAGCAACCCCTGACAAGCCAGGCTGCCCCTGTGTTCCTTCTTCCCCAGGGCTGGGAGTGACACTCACCTCAGGCAGAGGCAATCCCAGCAGCCGGGCCCCCGAGAGGTCCAGGTTGCTGATGGTGGTCACGGTGACTGTGTGGTTGGGGTGGTCATACTGTACTGACTCTGTCTTTGCTGTTACCAGCCGGTCCAGTTCATCTGCCTCCTCTGTGCAGGGTGAGCACAAAACGGCCTCAGCACTAGGGCACAAGTAACCAGGCTCCAGCCCCTCCCAATCCTGGAGTGCAATGGCCCCCTCTACTCTATGGAAGAGTATCCGGGAAGTCACTGGCTCCAGAGCCTGTCCTGCCAACAAATGCTGTAAACTATCCAACTCCTCCTTTCCTGTCCTGGGAAAACCTCAAACCACCTGGTCGCCACCTTCGACAAGCCCAGTGTGACACCAGGGCTGCTGCCCATTCCCCTCTACCCCCAGTCCCTCCAGGCTTCAGAAACTGGGCTGTCCGCTCAGGATCAGTTTACTAAGAGGTTTGGTCTCCTCTTTGTCTCTAATCCACTACATTTAGAGGTACCCAAGGACCACTCCTGGTCCCCATGTCATCATCAAGACCCCCAGAGCTAAGGAAGTCAGCTTCTGGGCAGGCCCTACACCCCTATCCTCCCACTCACCAAGGGATAAATAAACCAAGGCTTGTTGGCTATTCTCCATGTCAGGCCAAGGACGGGACTTACCCAGCGCCTCCTCTCTCTCTGCCAGCATCTTCAAGTATTCCTGGTGGCGCTGAAACCAAAAGGGAAGGGAACACAGTGAGTATGATGGCCATTCAGCCCCACCTCAGGCAGGGGCACTGCTCACCTCCAGGGTGAGTGAGTGAAAGACCAGGAGATTCCATCCTAAACCTTCCCCAGACCTGGGCCCACAGTGTCTCCACCTGTACAAACTGTTTCCCAGGCCTGCTCACACCTCCCCTCATCCCTGCAGATGTTCCATTCAGGCCATCCAAGGCTGCAAGTCTGCTGGGAGTGAGACTCTCCCGCCCTCCCACTCTGCACCTCCTCTCGGAGCTTCTTCTGCTCCTGCTTGAGCCGCTGCTTGATCTCCTCTATGGCTGCCTTCTTCCGCTCCACCTTCCGCTTGTGGAAGCCTGTCAGGTACTCCCTACAGGAAAGAGGCAAGGGAGTCAGGAGCTACAAGGAAAGAAAGGCTTCCCTCCAAAAACAGCTAAATTGCACTCACTACGAGCCAGGGACCATTCCAAAAATTTACGTGTGTTAACTCATGTAATCTTCACAACAACCTGTGTAGTAGGTACCAATTCCTGTTTTACAGATGAGGTCACTGAGGCACAGAGAGGTTAGGTTACTTGCCCAAGGTCATAGAGTGTAAGGTTATGAAAAAAAGAGGGAGAAGCTGCCTTTTTCTACCCACTACCCTCCGGGGCTCTCAGCTTCAAGCAGCAGGCACAGGTGATGGGCATAGGTTGTAGGCCTTTGAACCTAGAACTGGTGGGGCCCCTTCTATACTGCGAAATTCTGTTCCCCAGTGAATTAAGCCACTTCCAGCAGGACTTGCGAGGCCACCCTTACCCAGACCTCTACATTTGCTGCTGGACCAACACCGCATTTCCCAGGACACCTGCCCCCTGGACCCATCTCTGCAGGGCCTGTGGATGCCCAGCATTTCCCTCCCTCCTTCCCTCTCTATCTGATCTCAGCCTCTTCTCAGCTCTGTAGTACTGACTGCACCATTTCCATCTATTCGGGGCCCCAACACTCGGTTTTTCCATGATCTACTACCATATGCTAAGGGGGCACGCACACGTAGGAGTAAATGTCTGGTGAGCGAATAAATGAACTTAAGCCACTCATTTCATTCACTCTTCATTTATCAACAACAGCTGAGAGTACTCAGTGAGGGCGGCTGGGATAGGAAGCCGTTGCCAGTGCCCGGAGACCCGAACTCCTGGCTCGCAGGGCGGCTCTCAGGCTGCGCACACAGGAGGAGCCAGGCAAGTTGGGGCGCCCAGAAGAACGAGGGGAGGGCGGCGAGGGCGGGGCGGGCGGTTCCATTCCACAGGCGAGGGCCAGGAACGGACGCTCCCATTCCGCGGGAGGGCGCCCAAGGGGAGCCCCGGTCACGCCAAGAGGGCGGGGCCGGAAGGGCCCTCTGCGCGAGCGTGCGCGGCCCCAGGCTGGCGTAGGCCTTGGCCCGCAGCCCGAGCGGGTGCGGTTCAGCATTATCACTCACCGCCGCTTCTCCTCGTCGAAGCTGAGGACGAGCCGCGGCCGCCGGTTGTCGCCATCTCGCTTCTTCTTCTTGTTGCGGCCCATAACTGTGAGGCCTGGGCGGCGCCGCTCCCGCTCCCGGAAGACACTTCCGGGTGTAGCGTTTTGGGCCTTCCGGGCGCGCCTCGCAACGACGCTCAGCAGTTCCACTCGCCAGGCCCTGCCTTTTAAAGGGACCGCCCCACCCCTCCCTTTTGGGTGTAACAAGCTGGTCTCTGCCCCGCGACTCCCAGCCCCATTCCTTCTTATAGACAAGCAACGGGGAGAGCGAGCCCCCGAGATCCCGGCGCGTAGCACGGCACCCGGCACAGAGCAGGCGCTCAGTACGGAGATATTATCGAATGACCAAAGACTGCTGATCCTACTTTTGATTCTCATGTTAACTTGGTGGTGCTCTCCAAGATCACGTTTCTGGAAGCAAACTACCTGAATCTGAATCCTGGTATCCCAGTTACAGCTGTGTGGTCCTGGACCAGTTGCCTTTGCTGCGCCTGAGTTACCCCGTTTGGAAAATTACAATTATAGTGACTTTGTAGTGTGAATGTAAGGCAGTGGTTTTCAAACTTTTGCGTGCACCAGAATCCCCTAGAGGGCTTGCTGAAACCCAGATCCCTTGGCCCCGCTGCAGAGTTTCTAATTCAGCAGGTCTGGAGTGAGCCCCAGAATTTGCATTTCTAACAGGCTCTCAGGTGATGTTGATGTTGCTGGTCCCCAGACCAAACTTTGAGGTCGTGATTGTGAGGAATGAATGAGTTATGTAATGTGTATAACATAATAAATGCCACGCGTGTTTACTACACAAGCTATCTCCCCTCTCTATGCCTCAGTTTCCCCAATGGAGTAGCGGTGTCATAACTCATCCTCTACTGAAAATGAGGGTATGAATGTGAATGCATTCAGTAAAACAACATCTGAAGGAATTTTAGTGACTGGAATTACATGCCTGAATCTCCCTGTAAACAATAATATAAATGGAACCACTTTAAAATGGAACCAGAGCTGCCATCCCAGAGAAACTGCCTTATGCCTCAAATCTTTGGAGTGTTAAAATAGGGCAAAATAACCTCTGGACAGGGCCTCAGCAACCTTTTTCCCAAAGAACTGTTTGTAAAGATAACAAGAAAGCAGCTTTCATGACTAATGGAATGATGACTACTAGACTGAAAATTTAAAACATTGTTGAGTGCCCAGTTGGGTGTGGCTCAGCTGTTAAGCATCAACCCAGGATCCAGGAGATTGCAGTTTGATTCCTGGTGAAGGCACATGCCCATGTTGTAGGCTAGATCCCCAGTCAGGGGCGTGGGGGAGGCAGCCAATCAATGACTCTCATCATTGATGTTTCTATCTCTCTCTGTCCCTCTCCCTTCCTCTCTCTGAAATCAATAAAGACATATTTCTTAAAAATAAAGCATTGTTTAGAATTAACATCACTATGTTATCTTCGCCAATAGAAATGCCTTCCTTCTATTGATGTAATTGTTCCCCCTCCCTGTCTCATAAATACTCCTTGTCTTTGTCTTCTAATCAGAATATTATTTGGGCTTCTGCCTGAATTAATGACTCCTTAATAGCTATCTTTCTTGGCTTCAAACAAACGCTTGTTTGCCTCTCACTTTGAGATGCTCTTTTATTCTAAGGTTAGCACTCCATTCTCAGCACATCTGCGCTGGGTGGTCCCACAGGGTCAATGATCTACAGGAGAAGCACAGGAGGCTGCAGGAGTTCAGGGTTGGCTCCTCCAGTGTGGAGTGCTTCCCTGAGGAGGTGACGGCAGAACTGAATGAGGTTGGGGATGCCAGAGGCATTAAAGACTCTTAGGACCCAACCTTCTCCTTTAATAAGTGACTGGATCCCAGAGAGCAAGTAAGCACACACGACTGAGTGCCTGCTGAGTGCAAGGCATACAGAGAAGACAATGGAACTACAGTATTATCTCAGAGAGGGGAAGTGACTTGTCCAGGGTTATACTGCTGCTCTGTGGCAAAACTGGGACTTTAACCTGATTCACTAGGCTCATGGCCCAGCATCGTGGGCCACTGGCCAGAAGGATCACTCCCCCAGTATCTAGCATAGCCCCTTTGGAGGGCAAGATGCAGTTTTAGAAAGAGCCAGGCACACAGTAGGTACATCTCTACATGAATGTTGAACCCATTCCACCAGGGTCCTCTGCCTGGAGGATTCCATGTTGGTGCTGAAAGGAAATTAGCCTCAAACCCAGGGTACAGCAGGCGGCTGCCTGAATAGCAGGGCTTCAGGGTGAAAAATAACTGCCCCTTTGACCCTTCGACCCCCAGTGGTCATGCTCTAATGTTCCCCTTGGCATCCTCCCTCTGGGAGGAAACATTGTCTTGGCTGCAATGATGCCCCTGAAGATGCCCAGCAAGCTGCCTTCTGCAGCTGGGCTGCCTCCTGTGAGTCCCAGGCACTGGGTCTCAGGGCTGCCACCAGCTCTTTCCCAGGCTCCACCCCCCCACCCCCACCCAGACTGACTGTAGCCAGAAAGTGATGGGTCTGCGACTGGACTTGATAAATTATAAACCTTTCTGGGCTCCTTTCCTCTCCACGGTTCATTCTTTCAGTCTCCCACTGTGCTGAAGAGTGTTCTCAGGGCGTCTCCAGGATTATCTGTCCTCACAGCCTCTCGTGAGGTTGGTGCTGCTTCATCCCTGTTATACAGGCGAGGAAACAAGCTCAGAGAGAAGTGATTTGACCAAAGTTACCCGGTTAGTGAGCGGTGTACAGAGCCATTCTCGCCTGCTGCCCTGGATGTGGAGTGGTTCTGCCCTCCAGAGCTTCCAGTCTGGAGCAGAGACAGGCTGAGTAAGGAGACAGACGGCCGCTTATGTGAGGAACTCTGCTTAGTTGGTCTTTGCAGCCCACCCAGCCCAAGCTGCCGGCCCACATGGGGCTCAGAGAGGCCTCATCTGCCAAAGCTCCCAGTGCAGAGTGAAGCCCGCCATCTCCGGCAGGCGCTTTTGCTCCAAACTCTTCCTAGGGAGTTTCAGGTCCCCTTGCCCCAGGAAAGGAGATGAGGGACTGGCAACCCACCCAGATTCCAAAAGCTCCAGAGCCCTTTACTGCAGCTTGCTGTCTAAAGCACCCACCACCCTTGTTGAGATTATTTTTGAAATTTTTATGTTTCTTGAGCACCTACTGTGTGTGTGCCAAGCACAGCAAGAGATGGCACATTCTCGTCTGGCTGGCGTGGCTCGGTGGTTGAGCGTAAACCTACGAACCAGGAGGTCAGGGTTCAATCTCAGTCAGGGCACATGCTCAGGTTTCAAGTGTCTGGCTTGATTTCCAGTAGGGGGCATGCAGGGGGCAGCCAATAATGACTCTCATTGTTGATGTTTCTGTCTCTTTCCATCTCCTTTCCTCTCTCTGAAATCAATAAAAACATTTTTTAAAAAAAGAGAGATGGCACATTCTCTTAATAGAAATGATGATGCTGATGAGCAAAAGGAACTGCTATTTATTTAGCTCTTTACATGATTCTCTCTTTTAAGGTATGAGCCCCATTTTACTGAGGCTTAGACAGGTGCAGTCACTTGCCCAAGGTCATACAGGCAAGAAGAGCAAGTGCTGAGGGTGAGCCCAGGTGGTCTAAGGGCAGAGCTCTACTTAATTTCTTTGGACCCAGTTTCATAGGCTCATAATACACAGTGAGTCTTAAAAGAGGTGAAGGAAACCAACATTTACAGAGCCCTTACTATGTGCCATGCACCATACACCCCCCTGCATTATGCCAGCTAATCCTTGCAACAACCCCACATCGTAGATACTATAGTATTAATGCAATTTGATAGATGAGGAAACAGGTTCAGAGAGGTTCAGTAACTAATCTGAGGGCAGTGATGGAGCTGGGGTTTGAACATAGGAGTGTGATTCTGAGCCGCTTCTTTCCCAGGGCTTTGCTCTGGCTCCGTGTAGTCCCAGTTCTGGTATATTGTGGGTGTTCAGCCAGGTTAGGGGAGAAATAATGTGGGTGAACTGAGGACCAGAGAAAGGCAGTTGAGGGGAGCACTTTCTCCAACGTCCAGCAGAGGGCGATCCATCCACAGCCAGATTTCCAAAGCTGTTTCTGGGTGGCCACTTGGGTGACTCAGGAGAGCCTGGAGATTGGGCATGTGGACTCCATCCCCCTTGGCCCTCACAGAAATGTGCTCCCTAGGGGACACACCGAGGTGGGAATCTTCCACCCCAAAGGGCCCAGATGCAAATAACCCTCATTTTATAGATGCAGAAATGAAGGCTGGGGACAGATAAGACCTACCCAGGGTCCCACGGCTGCTGCTGGCTGTCCTGGAGAGTTAGATTTGCCAAGCTCCCATCCCAGAGCTCAGCTGGGTATAGTACAGTCCTGGGCATCACATTGTCACTCAGAGGCTTGAGTGCAGCAGGGATGAGAAGCCACTGCTGTTTACTATGCGCTGCATACTAAACTTGGCCTCCTTCACACGTATCACTTAATCCTCACAGCACTATGTGCTACTAGTCTCCTCACATACATGAATAACCCAGGCTCAGATCCATTCATGCACACAAGGCCACACAGCTGGTAGCCCCGCACCACCATCTGCACCAGCTCTTAATAGCTCATGAAAACAAATGAGAGGGGCCCAGTAACTCTTCTCTCTGTGCTGCCTGATACCACAGCATGAATCAGTCTGTCCTTGCCTCTTTCCCCCTGGTTTCATTTATTCATCTTTTGAGCACCTACTACGTGCTGGGGCCCACTAGGTTGGGAGCTGTTTGTCACCAAGCCCCTACTCTGTACTGAGCCCAGGGGACTCAGGGGAAGATGTCACTAGCACTTAGCAGGTGTGCATCAAAGAAGTGAACAGAAGTGAAGCCTGGGGAAGTTAGTGGAACCTGCCCCCATATACACACACGCACACAAATGAGGCTGGTTCAGGGTACAGAGGCAGCTGCCTTTATTGGGGGCCATTGGTTAGCTGGATTCACTCAAAGGCCACACACTTGATCTTGAGGTCACCTTCTGCCGCCAGGTAATTGATGACCTCCAGGTTGAGGCGGTTGGGGAACTTGAATGTATATCCATCTGACAGCTTGATAATCATGTCTGCCTGGTCGAAGGAGATGCACACCTTGGGAGTGGAAAAGGGCAGTGAGCGATGCTCCCCCAAGCGGGAGCCTTGGCACAGCCACAGCCACGGCCTGCAGGCCTTGGGCCCTCCCAGAGCCCTGACAGCCCTACTGCAGGGGCCAGGCCCCTGAGGTTGGTAGAGGGGCTAACACAGCAGGTGAGGGAGGGAGAAGGGGGAGTGGGGAGGAAGGGCAAGGTGGGACCTAGGTCTCTGGTCACGAGCCCCAGCTCTGCCCCAGCCCACCTCTGTGACACTTCCAGGCTGGAAGGGGAAGACAGACTCGCGCTGCTCAGTGCCCCAGGCTCCGGAATTCTTGCTGTTACACACGATGATGTTGATGTCTCCATGTATATTGAAGCGAGGATTGAAGTGCAGGCACACATTGTTGTCATCTTTGCCCAGGTTCAGCACGAAGCTGGGGGTGACAGGCAGGAGGGGCTGAGGCCTCTGCAGGCAGCTGCAGCCCCTGGACTAACCAGTCTGTGCCACTCAGTGCACCATGAATGGATCTAGCTGGGAGAACTGATTGAGTCAAGGAGGCAGGAAACCTGATTCTAGCTCTTGGGCCAGCCACCTCCTTGCTGTGATCTTGAGTCCTTGCCCCTCTCTGGGTCTGTTCAGTGGGGGCTGCCTGCCCAAGAAGGATCTCTAAGGGTCTTGCTGTGCTTACAGCCAAAACTCTCGCAGACAGCAGTTTGTGTCCCAGCCCTCCGGTCGAGGTAGGGGACTCCCTCCAGATGATGACCTCTNTTCCTCATCTGCACAGTGGGGGCTGCCTGCCCAAGAAGGATCTCTAAGGGTCTTGCTGTGCTTACAGCCAAAACTCTCGCAGACAGCAGTTTGTGTCCCAGCCCTCCGGTCGAGGTAGGGGACTCCCTCCAGATGATGACCTCTGGGCGTACAGGTGTCCTGTCTATCTGGTATATCTTGGCACCCTTGGTGCCCGGCATGATGGATGACATGCAACAGGTACTCAATAACTGGGGCGAATGAACAAATCTCAATAACGCACTTGCTAGGTGGAGGTAACAGCAATCCTTGCCCCTGAGGGTCTGATAAGAATGAAATGAATAGTGCACCGGGCTCTTTGATAACGGCGGCTGGTCATCTCCTCACTGAGAGACCCAGCACCTCACACCCCCCCGCACAACCACCGTCCCCCTCGTTTTGGTTTACTGATTAACAAACTGAGGCTCAGTGCAGTTGGCTAAGCCCCAGGTCCGCCACGTGGCCGCTGAGAAAACAGACCAGCTGGCTGGATGACGAAGGAAGGAAGGACTGAAGGAATGAAAGGCTGAGGAGTGAAGAACGCAGGACAGAGGGACCGCGGAGGGAGAGCTTTGGGCGGGGCACACCCCTCATTCCCTCTC